CGTTGTCCTTCCTTTTCTCATCAGTCTCTGTTTGCATATTGATCACTCATTAAATATTTGGTATGATGTTTCCAAAAATTCTTCCATATTTGATTTGGTTTGTTTCTTTATTGCTATTGGTTTGCTGATAATCAGAGCCTTATGTAGCTCATGCTGGTTTGAAGATAACCATGAATTACTGCTTCCACGTCCCAAGTATTGGGATTACAAGCATGTATTCAACTTCAATTTGGTTTTGATACAGCCTTGTTTCATCAGATTTGCCTTTTGTCTTTTACAGCATATTGTATAGTTATTCACATAGGAAGCCAGAAAGGATGATTCAAGTGAAAGAAACAAAGTTAAATAGTTAACATTGTGAGGTCTATGTTTCTATGGCTTGGAAGAAGGTCGTTTGTTTGTTTGCTACTATGCATGCTATAGCTGTAAGTGTTGAAGGCTAGAATTTCCTGCAGAATCTTCATTCAGTCTTCCTTGCATTCTTTAGGGACTCCTTTGTAGGATCTTAGATGCCATCCTTTTATTCAGAATCCTGTTAACATATAAGAGTAGTCAAAACTTTTGTGGGTGGTGTATTGCATGATCTTATAATTCGGGCTTAGTCATTCAGTGAGCCTGTGTATCTGGGATATGATTTTCATACCTGTTTCTCAGCCTCTTCCCCCTCTCCTACAGGGGTGACAAACTGCCTATCCAGAGCTGGAGTTGGGTATTTCCCATCCCCTGTGTGGAAATAGAAGCCTTTGTTGGGTATTTGCTTTTTCCAATGTAGAACCTAAAGTAGCATTTGTTTGAGTTGGGTAATTCCTTTCTTCCTGTTGGTGAGGTTTTGGTAAAACCCCACAAGTTAGTTAGGCTCTGATCAAATAATTGTCCCTAGATGTGTCCTTTAAAGAGATCAGAGGCTCTAGCAGTTGCTCTTTTCTTTGCAAAATGCACAAGGGGATTTTTCTTTAGTCTCCAAGTAGATAACCTGCTGTGGTTTCTGGAAAGAAGGCTCAGGAAAGAGTAGGAGGCTCTGCAAAGTACAGTCGCACAGGAACTAATCAATACCCCTAAAGGTTCTTACCTATGTCTGGGCTCCAGTAGAGGTTCTGCTAGCAGTGAATTAATGCTCTGCATCACTTCCATTTTAGTTTTAGGTGCCATCTGACTTCCACACTGTGATGGAGATAAAGCATATCGCCATGCTATCTTCCAGTGTGTTTACACGTATACAAAATGATTTTCTTCACTGTTTTTTCCACTGAAGAATAAAAATGTGGCCTTCAAAGAGATCACTTTGCCAGTATTTTTAGACTCTTACATCCCTGTTATTTTATAGAAATTTGACAAATACTCATTCTATAGAGCAGGCCATTGAATGAAAGAAATTTTAACTTGAAGAGATTTGTCACAAATGAAGGCTGCACGTTTTGACAGTAAAACTATTTTTACCTAATCAAATTTTAAATGGAAGTATATTTTACTTAATGACTACTTTTAGTGCTCACGCAAAGGACATCGGGATGACAGCTGCTTTTCTCTCATTTGATTCTTTACTATGATGGAGACATCATTCTAGATTGGAATATATTGATGGGCAATTGATGGGCAAGGCATCAGAAGACTTCTGATCCTGGTAAATAGGTTTGAATTAAAAAAAACCAAAATACTGAAATTTTTTTGTAATGAATTTGTTGATAGGTTCTAATTTGAGGTAATAAATAATAGATGGTCATAATGAACAGATATGTTCTGTGAAGTTATTGAAAGTAAAGGAAGACTTAAAAAGTGCAGAAACCAACAAGGACACAGGGCAACAAGGGTTATGATTTTTTTTTAGAATATTTAGAGTAGATTATATTGAAGAGGCCATATTTGAGCAAAAAGGGTAGGCCATGAAAATATCTAGTTAGAGGACCAGGAGGTAAAAGAAACAGGGTATGCAAAGAAAAAAGATTGACATCAAAACTCAGAGAGAGAGGAGGCAATGAGTTAGAGTGAGTCAAGTTATCAGACCAGATGAAAGAAGTACCAAGGAGCAGGTAAGACTTGGATGTATCTGATACTGTAGTTCTATGAACAGATGGTAGATGTAATTGGTGTAGCACTCAAAAACAGTCTTTGGTTACTCTTTTGATGTCTGAGATTGTGGAAACTCATTAAAAAGACTTGCAACAGACCTGGTAAGAGACAGTGTGGCATAGACAAGCACTGGGATACAGATCCTCAAGTAGTAGAAAAAAGAAGAAATCTGAAGATGTCTTTGGAGTTTGTGTAATGAAGAAAGATAAAGGAGATGGAAAAAGCATTAGACACTATTCTCTTTGTGGGGGAAGGGCAGACTTCACTTCAAGAATGTTAATCTTGAGATATCTGCTATATTTGCAAATAGAGATCTTGACTAGATACACAGAATCCAGGAGCATTATTTTTTTTAGAGCTGTAACAGATAGATGCTATTTAAAGGCATGAACATGCAATGTGAAGGTTATAGATAGAGAACTGTAGGAGAACGGTAAATAGATACAGAATGGCATCCAAGACACTCGAAAAGGCATGTGTGTGTGAACAATGGGTGGCATAGAAAGAAAAGAAATAAGAAAAAATAAACACAAAATAGATCAAAGTAGAAGGAATCAAATCTATTTTGTCAAATGCTATTGGTATGTTATGTAAAAAGAGAGAGAGAGACAGATTAGCGTTATTTCAGAAGAGTTAGAAATCAAAGTATCAACTCACAGCAACTCTTTATTATACTCACAGATTAGGATGTCTTGCATCAGAGAAGCTTCTTTTTGCAGGAGGTAGAGACTACCACAGAGAACATTGACTTGTCAAAGTGTCAAGAATAACAGAGTGTAGAGTGCTCAGCTCAAAGTGTGTCATACCCCTTCCTTCCGGTGCTCAGGGATCATGCTGAAGAGGGTGCAGAAAGAATGCAAGACCTGGAGGTAGTGGATGGCTACAAGGAAACAGTGTGTTCTGCACACAATTGCCAGCTATAATATGAACTCACAGAGATTTTGACAGCATGTATATGACCCGTGCAAACTCAAGCCAGTCCAAATCACAGCATCGAAAGGAGAGAGTGGCAGGGAGTCCCACTCCTTTGTGAGAAACTATTAGTAATTGACAACTGCTAGGAAAGAGAAATCCAGATTTCTTTAAGAGTTTTGGCTTCTCATAGCTGTGAAGTACTCTATGGGGTGGCCGTATATCTAAGTGCATGTAGGCAGCACTAACTAGATACGATGGGTTTAAAACAAATGGGGGATGTGTGAAAATGATCAAAATATGAAATTTTTGAAACAATAAAAATATTTAAACGAAGTAAAAATACTGAAGGTAAGTCAGTCACTAGACCCAAGAAATTTGAATACAGGGGTTAGGCAGCTTGGCCTACAATTTCTCCAGAGACCGTGCAATACTCCAAAAACAATAAAGCTATTCTTGGCCCACTGCACACAATATAGATCAATGAAGGTAGAGATATAGCTTCACTATGGTTCTGCTGTTCTGATGGGATCATTTAGAGATACCCCCATGCCCCAAATGACGTCTAGTATACCATCTCAAATTGTTCCTGTATTTAAAGAATAGTATAAAACTAGGATGCGCATCTACAGCTTGTTCTAGAACTCTAAAAACTCATCATTTTTATTCAATTAACAAGATTTTAATTTCTAAAATTGCCTGGAATTTAAGAAGCTCCATGACACATATTCTTAATTTAAGGAATAAGCTTTATAAAATGAACTGTAAAATAAGAGGATTTGGGAAGTAATTTTTCTTTCTTTTTTTTTTCACAGTCAATAGGGAAGTAATTTTTCTTGAAGCTCCTATTTTTGTTTTTACTTATTTTAAATGAGCCTACAAATTTATAGAACTCCATTGTAGGAACCACCATTTATTTTATTTTTCTTCAAAATAAAACAAATCTTCATTCTATATCATTACAAACTCTATTATAAAGATTATATATGACATGACACAAATGTATAAGGCATATTGTCAGATGCTGAATAAATAGTTATGAGTATTTAAAATAATTTGAAATGTTGTAGAAGAGAATGACAATATAGATTTATGAGAAATGGTTGTAAAGTTTGTGTTAGAAAGACTACAAAAATATATGATATTATAAAAATCCTCTTTATTCAGGAAGATTTGTAATAATATTTTGAGATTACTTGTTTGGAGAGCAGTTGTGTGAACACAATGTTTTAAGTGGCTCTAAAGTCTCAAGACTTCCTAGAGCATAGACTTGCTTGTCCTCAGTGACATAATTGTATGCACCTACTATTTTACCATGTATATCCTTCTACTGTGAGCCATCCTATAACACTATTTCTACTTAGGCAAAATAGAGCACTGGTTGAAAAAAATTAACTTTGACAATTAGAATTGTCTTTCTATGCCATACTTAAAGTAGCTTACATTTTGTGAGGTTTTCTTTGCATATTGTTTTATCCTCTAGTATAAGATTTGTGCAAGGGTTATGTTAGATACCTTATACATGTGCTTTCTTTATGGATTACCAAGATTGTTTCTATATTTTTACATATGATTCCTGGATCTCAGAAATGTAACAAAATCAAATGATAAGACTTTCACACTTATCTATTTATATGTACATTTATATGGATGTGTGATGCATGCCATAAAATATATGCATAAATTCAAGAATGAGTAGCATTATAGTCATCAGAACTAATATGATTACCATTCCTAGTAGTAAGAGAGAAATTTTTTTTGCTGAGATTTACAGGGATGCAAGGGGTACGGTAACCTCTGTATTTGAAGTTGAGCATGTTGGTATATGTATCATTTTGTTTTCATCATAAAGTTTCAAAGCTGAAAAGTCACACAAAGGAAAATTATATCATGATTACTTTAGTTCTTTTATCCCTCCTAAATGAAATGTATCTATGGTACCGGGAAATGATTTCTGATGGGACACCATCTCACTAGAGCACTTTGAAGAAAATGTCAGTTGTCTTCTCTTTCATTTTCAGTTCAAAAGGACATAGTCCGGATTCTCCCCAGTTTAGACGTTGAAGTCAAAGATATTACTGACTCTTACGATGCTAACTGGTTCCTTCAGTTGCTGTCTACAGACGATCTTTTTGAAATGACCAGCAAAGAGTTTCCAGTAGTAGCTGAAGTCATCGAAGTGTCTCAAGGGAACCAACTGTCCCAAAGTATTTTACAGCCTGAGAAAACCATTGTCATCCACAAAAGGTACCAGACTTCGAGGATCTTAGCTTCAGAAATTCGCAGCAATTTCCCTAAAAGACACTTCTTGATCCCTACTAGCTACAAAGGCAAGTTCAAAAGAAGACCCCGGGAGTTCCCAACAGCCTATGACCTGCAGATAGTTAAGAGCAAGAAAGAAACTCTCCATGTGGTAGCCACCAAAGCTTTCCATACACTTCACAAGGAGCTGTCCTCTGTGTCTGTTGGAGATCAGTTTCTAGTGCATCATTCAGAAAGCACAGAAGTTGTCTTTGAGGGAACAAGAAAAGTAAACATTCTGACCTGTGAAAAAATCCTCAATAAGTCCCATGAAGCAGCACGGCTTCCTCTGTATATGGAGGGAGGTTTCGTAGAAGTGATTCATGATAAGAAACAGTACCAGATTTCTGAGCTCTGCACACAGTTCTGCTGGCCCTTCAATGTGAAGGTGGCGGTAAGAGATCTCTCCATTCAAGATGACATTTTGGCAGCTACCCCAGGACTGCAGTTGGAGGAGGACATCACAGATTCTTACCTACTTATTAGTGACTTTGCAAATCCTGGGGAATGTTGGGAAATTCCCATGGGCCGCCTGAATATGACTGTTCGATTAGTTAATAGTAGTAGTTTGCCTGTGGATGTAGGGCCACTTCAAGTTAGGAGTCTTGTAGAAGAGATTACAGAAGAACAGTATTACATGATGAGAAGGTATGAAAGGTCTCTATCACACCCCCCACCTCGCCCTCCCAAACATCCCTCAGCTGAGGAAATGAAGCTAACCTTGCTCAGCTTAGAAGAAGAGACAACAATAAATCTGCCTAAGTCTCCCAAGGTAAGACAACAATTTCACAGATTTTCTTCTTCTTGAGGCAATAAGTTTTGAGTTGTTTCTGAATGTGCTTTTTGCTTCTTTTCTTCTTTTTAATTTTCATACCAATTTGAAGCAAATCTGTCTGATGCATGTTACATGAAGGAATGTCAACAGAACAGAAGCTGCTCTGTTGCAGCATTTGATACTCCACCCGTAGATATGGCATGAAATCTATGTAGAGTTAGAAATAGAAGGGATGACATTTGGATGTGACCACACAAATTGATGTTCCAATGGGTTTTGGTTTAAATATGTTTAATAAGATGCCTCAAAAAAATCCCTTTTACTTTGGAAATGTGGTTTATTTTACTTACGTAGAATTATCTCAATACTTTACCCAGAAAATGAGCATACAATAAACTCTCAGCTTTATAAGATGAGAGAAGTTTACTGGTAACATGCATCTCCAACACATGTCTTCATTTTGTTTTATGTGCAGAAAGATGTAAAAATATCTTGGCAGAACTGTGTGACAGCATCTGCCCACATAATGCCGCTGAGAATTGTAATCTTTAAGAGTTCTAATGGAAAGATAAAGTCAACAAACCTAAAGGCACTAGGAGGTTTTAACAGATCCATACTGCTCAGGATGTTGGACAGTAGTTTAGAATCATTTACACTTGATGTTGCTGATTCTTGAGCATGCCTAAAGGATACCTGAGCCAAACTTACCCTCTCATCCAGTATGCACACTATTTTTAGTGTGTGTGTGTGTTTCTATGTTGTGTGGAAAGAGTGTGTTCTTTCCTAGCAGATATTATGCTAGAAGCATAAAAAAACTAAGCAATTATTAAAAGAGATACTTTCTGATTGCTCCTCATATTCAGGAAAGATGGCAGTACTAGGCATCAAGACTCATATATGGATGTTGATCTGCTTGCAATTGTATGTACCAGAGACTGTTTTAATTGAGTGCTAAAGGTTAAATCCTTAAGGGTCTCTAAGCTTATTTTCTGGAAAAAAAGAATAAAGCCACCAAATTAATCTCTGGAAAACTAATTTTTAAAAATGACTAAACAGAGCAATTCCAAAATAATCCTGAGCAGCCAATGTGAAGGATTTCTTTGATACTTGCACTTAAAATATTGTTTTCACTGAGTTGAATGATACTAGCATTGATGATTAGGGCATAGACACAGTGTTCCCAGATTCATAGCATCTTATTTTTAAAAATGAAGCAAAAGAAAAAAACAAATAAAAAAACCTAACATATATTTGCAGATATAGAAAGGAAACATGATTCAAAGCAAAGTCATAGAGAATATCAAAACCACACTATTAGAAGTGATAGTGGCCCACATGAGTGAAGATAGTCAATGGCTCCATTATTGTTTAGGCTTTCATTTATGGGGTCCAAATGTTGCTGAGTTGCCATACCTGGGAAGACAAACAACTGATGGAATGCCTCCACTTTACTAGCCTCTACGCATCTTTGTGAGGCATGTCTGTGGTTACTATGGACATAGTTTGGGTGGTTGTCCATTTTGATTGACAAGCTTACATAGGTTTCAGTCATTGTGCATGTCCCTGTCCAGCATGCATCTGATTTTGGTTGTGTACAAGCATAAGAAGGTGAATAAGGTATTGCTAACAGATTATTAGGTGCCTTGTTTAGCGGTGTGTGAGTGTTTGTGTGTGTGTGTGTGTGTGTGTGTGTGTGTGTGTGTATTTAGTATATGTGAGTTAAAGGTCTCTCAGGCTGCCAAATGTCTGATCTGTGTGAATGGTGGTATAGAATTCCAAATGAACAAATCATTCCCTATTCCTTTCTGCTTCAAAGTGAGAAAAGGATGTTTTCCTAAATTTTATTGATGGGTAGAATAAGATCACCCACCCAAAGATGTGGAACTTCCCAGAACCTACAGGGATATAACATGGCATGGCAAATCGAGGACCTTGAAATGAGATTATCCTGAAGTATCCAGATAAGTATAGTACAATCACTAAAGACTTTATAAGACTTTTCTGTGGAGATCAGCATTACATGGAGATATGATTAAAGAGTGCCCAAAGAGACAATGCTCCTGTCTTCAAAGAGAGAGGAAGGGATAACGTGATTAGTGATATTCCTCCAAAGCTAGGAAGCACAGACAAACACGGTCTTCCAGAGGTGGTCCAGAAAGAACCAGCCTAGCTGATAATACATCAAGTTGACTCTATCAGCTCTAGGTTGGACTCTGATAGTTACATCATGATATTTTAAACTGTAAATTTATAGTAACATTGTACCGAGAATAAAAAGATAAAACGTGACCTGTTAAAACAATTTTAAAAGTAGAAGATTTTTGTTTATCCTGGCTAGCTCACAAATAAATGAGACACAAACTATAAGGATTATTTGATAAGCTTTATGGCACAATATTTGAGCAGTTGTTGATTTGTTCTAATCCTTGAGTTAATCTGGCTCTTTCCAAGCCCAAATCCCGGAGATACTTTCATTTTCAGTAATCATCTGGCTGTCTTTGCTCCAGGGTGTCTCCTCTACCCTCTCTTCACGGTGAATCCTCCTCTGCTCCTCTCTTTCCCTCTCCTGGCTGACAGACGTCCAGTCCTTTTCTCTCATCGACTCAGTATTAGCTAATCAGCCTTCATTGACAAATAAGAAAATAAACGAGAAGCAAAGTTTCCACAAACTTGAGACTGGAGATTCTTAGAATAGGCATTACAATGCAACCAGATTTGTGGGCAGAGAAATCAGCATTTGAAAAATGCAAAGATAATCTGGACATAGTGCCCAAAACTATTATGCCTATAATGACCTAAACTTGAGTAAGGATTTATAAAACCATTAAATATATAAGTCTCTGTATGTAAGCTAGGATGTACTTTCTTGGAATGTTATTTGTTTATTACACAGTATGCTGTATGACCTAGGCTAGCCTCAATCTCATGTTCTTCTTGCCTTAGCCTGCAGGATAGATAATAAATTTGTATCATTGGACACCAATGATACAAATCACCCACCTGTAACACAATGATCTACCCTTTTCTTTCCTCCCCTGCCCTTTCTTTTCTCCTTACTTTTTCCATGCCCCTTCCCTTCTTTCCTCCCCTCCTTTCTTCCTTCCTTCCTTTCTCTTTCTTACTCTGTCATTGCTTGGTTAGGTTGTTATGTTGACATATCTGGAAAACTCTCAGTTGATGGAATGCCTCTATCTATGTAGCTTGTGGGCATGTTTGTGGAACATTTCCTTTACTGATAATTGGCACAGGGGGACCAGCCTACTGAGCACAGTACTATTTTTAGGAAAGTAGTCCAGTGCTGTATAAGAAAGGTAGCTCAACAGTTGAGGGGAATTAAGTATGTAAACAGCATTCCATCTCTCCTTCAGTACCTGCTTCCAAGTTCCTTCCTTGGGCTCCTGCTTTGGTTTCTCTTGATGGTAATGGCCCCTAACCTCAAGCCAAATAACACCTCCCAGTTGCTTTTGATCAGTGTTTATCACAGGAACAGAAAACCAAGCTAAAATACCCTCTTTTTTTATTTTCCCTTTTCTTTCTGCCCTTTATAGTGAGTTTTATCAGCTCACTGAACCCGAGGAAACAGTTACGGTAGCTGGGGTCTTGACAATAGCTATAGTAGCATTCATTTTTCTTTTTATATTGGTTTTACTATCTTCAGCTAGTTTTGTTAACATGTCACAGGACTTCTGGGAGTTCCTACATCATAAATTTCAATTTCATTACTAGAAAAGAGTGTTCTATTATTATCAAGACTGAATTCAGAGAGAAAAAAGATGTAGGTTGCACTACATACCTTTGTCCTGATTCAGCTTGATTACTGGTTTCCTCAACCATAGACAAAGTTGATGAGTGATTTAGTCTTAAACCCATAGACTAGCTAATTTACAGTTAACAAAAATATCTTCTTAGAGTTCTAGAGGCTGGGAAATGCAAGATCAAGTTGCTAGTAGGTTTAACCTCCAGTTCCAAGATGAAGTATTGGCGGTACACAATTTCTTCCTATACTAGAAATTCAGAAGAGAGTAAAGTTATTAAGTATATGTTTGAAAGGCCACATCTTATGACCTAAGCCATTCAATATATCCCACCTCCAAACACTGTTGCATTGATGTAAAATTGCTAGCATATGCTTCAAAAGAGATAAAATCATTCAAACAAATGACAATAGTTAAGAAGACCATCATGTCTGGACACTCTAAAAACTAAAGGCAAAAAATTAGGTGATATAAAATAATAAATGTCTACTACTAACCCCAAATAAAAGATTTAAAAATCCTAACCCCTCAAAAGTTAATAGATAAAAGTAGATTAAAAATTTAAATGGTGTTGAGACCTGAGTCTGAGTCTGAACAGTGATATCCTGGAGTTTTTAAAGAATTGTCATGATGTTATGAAATTCTAGAGCTATTTTTATTTGAGGAACCTGAGTTGAGAGACAGCTTAAATTTGAAAGACTTGACCCTTGGTGATATTAGTTATAGGATATATTTAAAGAGCTCTTCAAATTTTGGAGGACTGACATATATCTGTCATAGCACCTGGGAGGTAGAGACAGAAGGGTTTGAAGATCTAGGTCAGCCTACGCTGGACAGGGAAACTCTCAAAATCAAAACAAGCAAAGCAAAGCAAAGCAAAAAGCATGTCACTGTTGTGAAGTGAGGAGCACAGACTTAATTCTTCTAATATTTACAACTACAGTTGAAGAAGAAGGATAAGCCTATTTGATGGAACGGTGTTGTGACTCGCTGCAAATGGGTATAATTCTACATAATATACCCCAAAACAACAGTGTTTTCTTATTCCCAAATCACCCTCTGCGTATTTCTTTTATATTCCTTGTGATAGCTGTATTCAAGCTTTTCTTTTATGTATTCTTTTGAAATAATTGCATTTAAGATCTTTTAAATGTTTCACATTTAAAATAAGCCTCCAAGTCTTAGGGTTTTACATGAGATATTGCTTTAAATTTGGTGAGCAGTTTGTCAGGGTTATTTAGA